AAAAAAAAAAAAAATTCAGCGTCAAGATAAATCTTAATGCAGTGACCTACCACAGCTGGGTTGTACTTGACAGGCAGCACTGATAACGTGCCAGTCGATGTAGCGATGAACAACAACTTACATCCGTCAGTCACAACGCAACACGTGATCTACACGAAAATAAAACCCGAATAAAATTCGGTATCAAGCGTTCAGTCGATCAATACATGCAGAATTCCATATAATTAAAACTCTTCTACCACAGGTTCTACCTTGTCAGGTGTGTGGTGTTCCATGAGACAGACAGGCGCGCTTTCAGGGGATGGGCACACGCGTACACCTCCATCCATGTACCCCCAACTCAAAACCGCGGACCAAATCAATCTTTCTTCACTCTCCCCTGGCTTTGCTTGGTGCACGGTCAACAAAGTAGAGTTGTGACCCAGGACAAAGACAGAGTCATTCTTGAGACAGACCAGAGATTGAACGGAGGTGTTCAACGGTTGCGTAAATCTCATTGCTGGGGCACCCATAGCCGGAGAACCCACATATTGTCCCCATTTTAGGCCCTCGACTGTGTTTACTGGCTGTCGAATTTCTGTAGAAATTACAAACGTGAAAAATATAGTCCGATTCTGTTTGTGGAATAACCAGAAGATAATTTTAGTGAAAAAAGACTAATCAGTTGTTTACGTTACTAAACACAATTTTAAGTTCAAGTTCAAATTATGTAAACAGAGAATCAACAAAATAACCGCCAAATAAAACATGATGGTAAAAATAAAGCAAAAAATATCAAACACAAAGTACGTTTGAGAAACTGCAAAAAGAGGATTCTTGTTTTTTGGTAGTATGGAACCAATCGATTGATTATTAATACAAGGAGGACCAGAGCAAGAAACAGTGGATAATGTAAGACCTGTAAACTTACCTGTTAGAGTGTCAACAGCGCTGCCCACAAGAGTGCCAGTATCAGATGACAGTGACGTGCTCAGCCGGTTTAACAAAAAAGCACCGTATAGTTCACCGTCCATAAACTTAGAATGGTGACTTGAATGACTAACCAAAGAACTTCCCTCCCCGGATGACGAAGGCTGCGGTTGGCACTGCGGTCGTGGGCTGTGAGGAAATGTGAACAGTCGCTGGGGAGTCTGGCCGTATGTTTCTATCATAGTCTTGAGAGCTTTCTGACGAACAGGGTCTGTAATTGCATTCACATCTACACCATAGTATGTCTGAAAGGTTAAAAATGACACATGAGCCTAATAAGAGACCTGGCTTGTCAGAAAAGTTATTGAAAGTCTTGTAAAGCACTCTTACAGACAAAGTTCTATATTTTTGGTGCGACGAGATTTTAGAACAGTCTACCTAACAAATGAATAACTTGCTATTCTTTTCCTTTTTTCCAACCGTCATAACTGGCTGGCCAAATCGAACCACTCGTAAAGCTAACTAATTTGATGGTTTAAAGTATCTGGCCAGATTAGCATCTTCTTGAGTGATATCCGTTATTAAGGAGTGTGTTGTGCACCTGTTTTTAAATTGACTGGTTCTCTCGGACAGCCACATTATCGTCAAACGCCCTTAAAAATTCTAAAAGTTGTTACTATCGACAAATGTGATGGCACTGATTACTTCAACTTACAGCTGGGTGAAATACGTTGATGGCTTCTATAGCTTCTCGTCCTGTTTGTTTGTAACCAAACACAAGGTCGATCCAGTGGTTGAGGTTTTGCGAAACATACTCCGATTCCAAGGCCTGTGGAACAATTCAATAATCAAATAAACATTATCACTCAAATATGAATTCTATAACAATTTATTTCATTATAATTAGACTTTCAAAATTCTGCTTCATTTATTTACTTATTTATCTATTATATTACTTATTTGCGACATGTAGACAGGCTGCACCAGTTCAGCTGTAAAGCTGGTTCAAATGGGGGCCTATACGAACAAAAACTCTTTGCGAGAAGTGCGTGGGTTCTTGAACGTCCCCCGCTGATCAGTACAAAGAAGACACAGGAGACGGTTTATCTAAGGTTTATCACCCTAATCCAAGAAGAATGGAATTTCTAGCCATTTACGGATGCCTTAACAAAGGAAGCACATTCTCCTCAGTTATTGTAAAACCCTGAGTGTTGATCTGGTCTGGGGAACGAACCAACAGTTTTTGGACTGGTCCACCGTCTGGGGTCTAGGATCGATTTCTCGCAACCCCTTCGGCTTTTATCGTGTCAAAATAAGAAGTAAACTGAAGCCATTTAACAAAGAAAATTGCCAAGAACGGCAAGCAGAATTCGACAAAACACAAGAAGAAGAGCAGATAAATTCTTTATATTTTGTTTTCTACATTTAATCATCAGGAGTAATAAGTTGTTAAAGGCTGCTATGAAACAAGATGGTCGTACCTGTCTGTGAATCAAAGTGAAGAGCCTGGTACTACCTTTAGCCCACAGGGGAACCTCTACATTCATAACCCGCTGACCATTTTGACGAAGGCCAAAGTCAAAACCTGAGAGAATCAATTCACCAAATTAACTTGGCTAATTCGTCCTTACTTCTGTTTAACTTAGTGGTAGAGATTCTGGCTGTTGATGGAGAGAAGGTCTTCGGAAGGAAGCTTGAGAGTACGTCAAAGCAAATTCCAGGATTCAAAGTTAACCTTGTATTTGATTTCTCTTGTATAAAAGAGCATTGTAGAGTTAAGGTTTAGGAAAAGTTCAACTTATTTTTAGGTAGAATTGCTTCAGCTCATTCCGACCTTGAGAAACTCAAACCACGTGGCTAATTTCCTCAAAGATAATCGTGTGTTTTCTCTGTATTTTACTTTGTCTCAAATAAACCTCACTTATCTTCCAACACGGTTCTAGTCTAAATGAAGATTCTTCAAAAATTACAGTAGCAACGATTTCATTTTCAGACCTCAATCATTGACCCTAACGCCATACCTTCGCGGTTCTCAAGGAACTCTGGGAGGAAAAAGAACTCTGGAATGAGCTCTTTGACATCAGTTGCAGATTCAAATGACGATAAACGCCACGTTGTTGCCATAGAGTGAAACGTACGATCAGGAATATCAAAATTTCGATCTGCCAAAGAATAAAGAATCTCCATTAAAGTAATATACAAATAAACACAAACAAAACAGTGAAAACGCCAAAACATCGAGTAATTTTGCAAACTACTAGACAAAAAGGGGACAAAAAGGAATCAAAATGGAAAGGGAGTGGGAAAGGGAATGAGAATGGGAAATGAAATGGAATGGCGATAACGGAATTGATGAATAAGAGAAAGAACGAGACGATTTCATTCAAGAGTACGGTTACCATTTTTGTTTGACTTACCTTGATATTGTAGAAACATTTTAGTAAACGGAGGCATTCGAACGAGAAAGTGCAAAACAGTGCCACTGTTAGAATAATGGCATCCATAATGATATGGGGCAGACATTGGATCTTCTTCCTCCATCCGTTCATACTCCTCTTGTAGCCACTAAGACACAAACAGTCAAACGTCACGCATTCCACGTCAAGCATTGCATTCGCATTGCGAATTCCACACGTAAAGACTAACAAACACTTTATCAGAAATATCTCATTCAGTCTTAACTCAAAGACTGCGAAGCAGACAGCGGTAACCGGCTTTGAACAAAACCCCTGCAACAGCTACGTGAAAATTAAACGTGTTAGCTTTACGCGCTTATGGAATATTTTCCTTGCACCTCTTTCGGTATTGCTGCCTCGACATCGATACAGTCTGACCGTGAAGTAAAAGAAAAAAAAAACACTTACTCTAAAGTTTTCTCGATACTTCCGTTCCTTTGACTGATTTTGAACGGCAATTGGACGAGAGAGGTCACTGAAAATACAAATACCTTAGTTATATTGTTAGCACATATCCAGTATACATCTTTTGCCAAATAGGTCCCTTGTAGAGGAATTTAGTTTTTTCAAATGAACAGGCAATCAAATCCACCCCTTTGAAATAGTGTTTTCACTGCTCAGTGTTAAAGCTGCCCAACATTTATCTGCATAACTCACTGTAATCGAAATATATAAATAAATATATATAATTTAAGTAATAAGAAAACAACTTATCAATACCGGAAACTCGTGACGTCGTTCAGATCCAGGACCTTGCTTCCAAAGTTAGCCAGCACGAAAGGGAACACAGGATACTGCATGAGGTCATTGAACGAGCGACCTGCCATCTTGTTCAGCTCTGTAAGGTACTGAAAGTTGGTCATCTGTCCAATCCGCCACCTGGTTAGAACAAGTGCAACACTTTCAGACGATGGATTTTGACAAATCAAGAAGTTTTGACTGTACTCTGTTCTGCTATGAAGCATGCTCATGCAAGAAGCGGCTAGAGCACGAAAGAAGTGTAGGGGAAACACGAGAAGTAGTCACTGCTTCTTGAGAATCATGGAAAGCGTTCTGTTAGGTAAGGATAACATTCCTACTAACAGACGTACCTGTTTGTTAGAGCCATTAAATGCTCGTATTGCGGCGCTTCGTAACATGGCAGATGTCTCTGTTTAAACTGTTCCAGTACTATTTCGCGGTCCTAATAAAAACAGACTTTAATCAAAAGGTTTCCTTTCAGAAGAAAATATATTAAACGGGGATGAAAATGAAAGATCTTAAAGTCTTTAGCTCCAATAAAAAAAGTTAATTCAGTTAACAATTTTAATTAAGCAGAACACATATATTTGCGCCAAACACGGTGTTAAAAAGTTATAAAATGAAAGCAAAAAAAGAAAAATAGGTTTTTGGTGAAAGTAAAAGGTGAAAGAAATTCGACATCCACTCAAAAGGTCTCTGGTCTGAACGAAACTAATGTTTCTGGTTTACATAAATTTTTTGTGTTCGCTTCACTGGCGTTTTCATGTCTGAGGATCATCAATGAAAAGCCAGTTAAAATGAAATTAACTCAAAGTACCTCTTTCGTGTCAAATGCCAATAAATACGTCCGGCCAGTGGTAAGGAAAATCTCCAAGCCATTGTCCTGTCATAAGTAAGAAAGAGTAGATATTACGTACCTTAAGCAGTCAGGAAGGCAACGCCGAAGAAGACGTCAAGCAAAAAATTAGTTTATCTATTTAGTTACAATTTCGCCAATGACTGGAGGTGTTTGCTGTCTTTTACAGTAAACTTCAGCACAACGTATGTGAGAAGCATTAAATTCCATATAAAAACTTGAATAACTTGCCGTCGGTTTCCATTCTTGGAATACTCATATTTTGGTGATTTCACGATGTTGTTTTGTAGAGGACGGCTGGAAAGTGTACAACGTGTTAAAACACTCGTGCTGAGCTACTGCTCTACCGATGTGATCCTTTGTTTTACCATGTCCTCGATGCTAACGCCGTCGTGGTTTGCTTAAGGTCTCTATGCTGTTTCATTAGCGTTAGTTCGTACATCAAGGTGTATCTCTCGACATCTTTGTAAGTCGCATCTCATAAGTTAAGCCATTATGTACATTATTTTGTTTTCATAGCCTAATCTAGCGGGTGTTCCATGGCTACAGGATAAATCTTTCATCCACATGACAAAACTATCTTTCATTAACACGTGCCCACCTGAAGGCAATATCTCCTAGTTCGTATTTCTTGAATTTCTTCGTAGAGCCAGGATATGGAAATGGCATCCTTATTCCCTAACAAAATCTTAAAGAACAAAGAGAGAAGTGCAATATTCTATATTACTCCTTCAATTTCTGAAAGCTTCAGGTCGCTGGGGAAAATTTTAAATGTTTCTGCAATTGTTTAAATTTAAGCTCACATGGGTAGATGATTGCTTTACTAGACGTGCAACATATGATATCAAGAGAGAAAATAATCCTACTTGTGTAATGTCTGTGTCTATCTGCGTAGCCTCCTCACCCACAAAATACATGTGACTTTCACCTGCAAACAAAACATTGAAAGAAAAACTGATAAACCAGTCCCAAAAAAAAGTGTCCTTTCACATCAATATAGTGACAACTTTTTTTGCCATTCTCGTGTCAGAAAATGGCATGGGACAATATGGGAAAAACGTTTGTTACTTACCAATTAGAAGAACTCCTTTGATTTTACTGTCCAGTGTTATGTTCTTACAATGATGAAGAAAACTGGTGAAGCAATTAAAACCCATAGAAACAAACACATATCAAAAGAAACCCAAAACTAAAACAAACAAACAGGCCTTAGTATGTCTTTAACAGCTTGGGAACGATTGAAATAGTTTTACAATGGATATTTTCAGTTCAAAGCATACGAAAAACTGACAAAAATAATTCATTGATGTGAATCACTTCTACAATTTCTTTAAGTGTTTCACAAATCAATAACCTGAGATTTTAGTCGTTAACAGTCTACAAGTGTGATCCACCATCAATCTCTGGTCATTTGTAAGTTGTTTGAATTCGTAGCGTCTCACTGTTTTCCCTGCACTAAGGAAAAGTTCAAAATTCGATAAGATATCTTCAACTTCCAAAGGAAGCCTCCACTCACCGAATGGTATCAGGAGTGTCAAAGATATAGTATACGTTTTTCTTCATTGAGGTCGTGGTGTCTTCAAACAGATATGACAACGGAGTGCTACCGCCCTTTGTCTCTATAAAATAAAAAGGGCGTGGCTAAGATTTTGACTAAAAAGGTGTTTTAAGAACGGCTCCTGGAGGTGAAATGCACTTATTCAGAAAGCACCTCTATTCCATTTGTTCATCATCCACAGACATTTTGTGCTGCGGAGCATTCGGTTTTCGGCTATTTCGAAAACAAAGAAAAAGGTTAAGGGTTAAGCATGACGCTTATAGTAAACAGCGGACAGCGGAAATCTCACTTCTCTCCATCCGCTTTCAGCCGTCGGCAGTCAGGGTGGCGACACCGAGGAAGACGCCGCCTTATCGTGAATTTAAAGCGGAGCTCGTAAAGCGCGCAGCAAAGCCCCAAACTTATTAAAACTGTAAAAATAACAACCTGTCAAGCCGAGAAAATTTAGTCAGTCACGTCAGCGAATGTCCAGGTACAGGTCGTCATATAATTTTTTTCGTTAGAAGTCCACAAATAACTGAATGTATTTTCCACAGGCTATTGTTCGATGATCGCAACGTTTCGACTGTTACATTAGTAGTCTTCGTCAGACGACGAGGCAAAATATAAATCGGAAAAGACAGGTAGAGCGATGATCGAGAGAATTAAAGCACATGAAAGAGGCAGACGGCTTGCTTGCACTCTGTGGTTTCAGAGTAGGTCAATAAAACAGGACACGTTCTTATTTGTAGATAAGGTTAAATTTAATGACTATGACCCTTACTCATACACCCGTTACGTTCAAGAAGTCATTCGCATGAGAATTAATCCTAATGAACACCGATGGAGACATAGGGATGAAAATTCTCAAAACGGGGATTCCCACAATCAAAAAGCACATCAACCGATCAGTAACAGAGCGGACCGACTAGCCGGAATGGTAATAAGGTCGGAAATGTACCAATGAAATACACCGATGAAAAAATTTTTCTCACTTTTGCCACAGTATTCCTTCATAAGATACTTCTCTTCTACGTCCAAATGAAACCGCTGAAGGCGACATCGCACACGGTCTGGGCCCTCTGTCGGGTCCAGTTTCCAAGATGAAGGAAAGTGCTCGACATCGTACCACACAGATCTAAAAGAAAGTAAAACGCGCATAGCACGAGAACACTATCTAAGGTCTTTTATGAAAATCAATTAATACCTCAAGCATGTTATTCCAAGCGTGGTTATAGCTATCTACTTCAAGTTACTTAAAGATATTCTTAGATAAGACTATCAAAACAAAAACAAAGAGCAACAAGCACTACAGATTACAAAGAACAAATTTATCAGCAGAAGGGGTTTCAGTTGATAGAACACCGAACTCTGTCAACTAGCTTACAATGAAATGTTCGGGGAGAATGTTACTACAAATCAAATCTCGGGAGCTTACGCTACAAACGAAAATTCCTACCGAACGATTATTGGGTATCATTGTTTTGCCACAAGACGAAGAGTGATTTCGGCTTACCGTTCATGGATAAGTCGTTCAATGAGTTGGCGCCATTTTTTACGAATCTGGACCTCAGCAGAAAGCGCATCCCTTGCATGTTTGAGCAGGGCTTGGCGTTTTGTGTCCTGAATCTCGACCACAACTCTAGTAACATCTTGAGCAACCGTTGATATGGCTTCACTAAGCTCCTCTGTTCTCTTGTCAAGTCTAGAAATAAATTCAAAGGGACATTTGCTATAATTCACGAATTTAAGGGAATACTGTACCTAAACTGCTGGTTTGTCCCGGGTACTTTACTTTGCCATAACTCCTAGAGGCCCGCTATTTTGATAATATGTTTCCACGAGTGGTGATTGTTTCCCAGTGCCTCAATCCTTAATTTTGACCTACCTGTTCTTATCAAAAAAAGTTACATTACATCTTTAAGTTCTTGGAAACCCCGAAGAGTGGGTGAAAAAAGTGTCGCTTTGAACACAGTATTGAGGTGGAAAATGAAAAACTAGTCATAAAAAAGAGAATGTAAAGAGTAACCATGTTGAGATGAATAGTGAGTTCCATTACCTTTTATAACCATCACTTCTCTGTTTTTGCCATTGCATCATACCTGTGGAATCCCACATCTGAAACTGAGATATACAGCAACTCTTAGACAACAATTACGTTTAAATTGTGCAAAACGCGTTGAGAGCCGGGAGGAAGATCACCAGTTGGAGCACAGGACAGGCGTTATTCGAATATTTCGCACACTAACCTCCTCGTCATTTGAAAGTTTGCTGTCGCCAACGTTCAAGCGCATAGACTGCAGGTTCATAGACAACATCAGGTCTTTAAAGTTCTCGGCGTTCTTTCTCTGTTCCTGAGTGAGACCAGGATCGTCGAGAATCTTCAAAACATATACTGCTGTGCGTTCACGGAGCTAGAAAGAGAAGATGCGCAGAAAAAGGAGGTGAAACAATTTCCAACTGAGTATCGAAAATGATCCAGGATTACTTTGGTTTTGCTTTACTTGGCATTATGTTTAATTTGGAAACTTAGCACCACCATCTCAACGAACTAAAATCAATCTAAACTTGGTCATTCGCGTTATCTCCGCTCCACGAAAGTTGCCTGTTTTCATATTTACCTTCGATCCTCCACTGGTTCTCAGTACAGTCTCTATAATCTTTTTAGCACGTCGATGACGGACGAGATTGAGCGCGAAACACGACAAGTCCAAATCTTGACTTGGATTCAACATGAACACTAGCAGTTTGCCCAGCTGAAAGAAACAGGAAAACGACGCACATGAAACTTTGCCTGTTGTTGTCGCAAAAGTTATAGATCTATAGATCTATAGGTCTATAGATCTAGATAGTTATAGGTATAAGTGTTTTCAGAAAACAATGGATTTACCTGTGCTTTCAAATGATCTTTACAAACGATGAAGAGTTTATAAATTTCTCGCTTTCTTCCATCCTTGAGATAAAACACAACAAAACTGAACATGATCCTGTTAATTATTCACAATTTTCTATTAGCTAAGCAGAATTGTAAGCCAAATAAATTATCATTAAATCCTTGCCATGAAAACTTGGGCCTCCTACTATCATACGAGCTATGAAAGTTGCTGGACGATCGCAAACAACGTAAAGTTATGTTAGCAAAAATGTCATTAAGACAGAGAATTTAAATAGTTTATAATTCCAAATATCTCGAGTAAGTTAAACTATGCCAAGTGGGACTGTTTGAGGTGCCTACGAAAATTACATACCAAACAAGCATCAAAAATTTCCAGAAGTAAACTAAACACGAACTGCGCAAACTCCTTCTCAATGGCTGCTCCGGCAACTCGCACCATCCCTGGACGCAAAGCCTCATGGACGTCCATCTCGACAGAATCGAAATGAAAGGCAATGAAGTCCTCTGGGAGAAAGAAAGTCTTGCAGTACACTATAGAGTTCACGGCCAACTGGCACGTGATCTGAAAACGCCGCGTCTGTTCATTAGAATTTGCACTTGTTGGGGACTCTTTGAGCTGGCTCGGATCAAGGCACAATCTGAACTGGTCTCGATCCAAGTGGATCCAAGACGAGACCGGAGTGAATGCGGGAACTGGGTCGACGTTATTATCTAGTCCACGAAATGGTAATCTGAGGGCACATAAACGTTGAAAACTTAAAAAATAACACTCTCTTTATGATAAGCGTTTGTGACTGCAATTGCAATATGGTGTCTGCAGTTAATATTACCAAAACCAGAACAAATGTGAAGGTCCTCTTTCGATAGAATTACGCTTTTTAACAACGTTAAAAAAAGCGTCCTTGAGAGAGTCTATTCGCATGCACTACCACTGTGATAAATAATAATATTATCAATATTAATAGGAATAATAATAGTGATAATGATAATAACAATAATACAAATTATACACTTAAGCGCCCAAGGTAGCACTAACTATCTCTAGGCCAGACTAACTGTAATTTTTGTTTAAAGAATTAAAACTGAATAAAAATAGCTGTTGTTGTTGTTGCTGCTTTTGTTTCAGTGTCATTACCTCAAGCCAGATGGTTTTATCTTCTTTCCTCCCACAGGTCCTTCCCCTTTACTGACTTCTTGGAAGAAATGCAAGGCCACTTGAATAGCGAAAAAACGAAAATATCGAGCACAGTATGATGTAGAAGGATCGTGATCTATGTAAAGGAGAAAAATGGCATTCAAACTCCTGCACGGAAATCAACTGAAACACAAACATTTTAAAGATGAGACTCACCTCTCTTTTTGTGATCCTGTTCTTCCAGGTTCTCTAATGCAATCAGCATATCTTCAAACATTTGAAAATAAAGGTTGCCGTTGGTGCTGAGTTTAGAAGAAATGAAACTGTTAGGATTTACTTAATGGACAAAACCTCTTAACTCTAATTTTCCCTTTAAACCTGGTTTAAGAATATTGATAAAAAATGAGAAATTGTACCGACGTCTTCATGGGTCTATTATGTTTCAAATAAAATCATACACACTAATTTGACGGAGGTTTATCTTAGTAATTCTCTCATTTTCGTTGCATGAACAAAACACTAAGCTACAGTTATTCGAAGGGTAGATAACGCGATTCACTGGATCAATTCCTATCAAGTGGATAGCGTTGGATCCGTCGCTTGAGATATTGGCCAAGGATTACAAAGCAAAAAATTTAATGATAGGTCATAATTATCTGTTACCTGCATGCTTTCCTAACAATACACACAACAAATTGCTGAAAGTCTTCCATTACTGCATCTAGGTCTGGAAGGTTACTCGGATTCCTGACAAACCTGAAGAGGGGACCGAGCAAATTTGCAGTATCAAGGTAATAAACGGCCTCACATTCAATCAAGTTATGAAGACTCGGTAAAGCTACCGACTTCAAAATTGGAACCGGAAAGAAGTCAAGTCCTAAATGGGCATTCAACCGGATTCAGTTTTATCGTCTCACTTTTGTGATAAGGCTTAGCATCTTTACTTGATAACACATCTTATCTAATTAATTCCCTTAATAAATCTGTGTTATAGCTTTAGCCCTCCAAGTATTTTGACTTCTAAAGTTAGCGTTCCTTCCAAACAGTTTGTTATCGGCGGTCTATCACTGCCTATAACAGCTCTTACCGCCGTCTGTTTGGCGTGCGAGCAGGCTCTCGTGTTTGACTTTCACCTAAAGGTTCCCTTTCGGGACACAGCTGCCTATTACACAATCGGCAGCCGCCATGGAAAGAAATATTGAAACCCCTGTGTGGCAATAAAAACATAAGGCGAATAAATAATTATAATGATCAAAACAGACCAGGTTACAATCTTCTACCTCTGTTTGTGTCGTAATGTGCAAAGTCCATAAATCACATTACACACGGTTTCCAACAACCCGTGATCGACAGCCTGAAGGCACAGGTCATCCACTTTGATGAACAGCTGGCACAAATGTTGGATCAGAAGATGAAATAAAGATGGCTTTAACACACTGTTCTCTAACAGGGCCATAAGAGGGACCACGCCCACGGGGCGGACAGAGGAGGCCAGGTCTCTGTCCTCTGCCCCTGAGTAGTTACTGTGGATAAGCACAGGATATAACTAATAATCACAAATGATTAATAACAATATAATTAATAATCATCAATGATTAATACCAAAAAAGACAGACCAGACTTTGGTTTAGAGTGTAACAAGCTCCTTAAGAAAAAAAATTATTCAATTTTCTATCCGCAGAAAGAATTATTTGTTACTGCCTTACTCCCGTTACTAAGAGACACTTCTGAGTGGAGGTCTCCGCAGCAGTTTTGGTTCCATTTACATATCTGCCTGTGGGAAGAGGCAAAAGGTTTGTATATAGATAAGTTGAACTTACTAGTCTTTGTTCAAGTCAACAGGACGATCCACGAGAAGCGACAGACAGCCCTCTATTAACAGCTTTGTCACCGGATGATCATAAAGCTACAACACATAAATAAGAATTGTATATGGCTTGTTATAGGCTAAAAAGAGATCACATTAACTAAATGAAAAGCGTTCGCTGATACCGTGGGAATTTAGAGTGCCGATTTGAAAGAAAAAGTTTTGTTGTAAAGATTTGCAGCTTTCCAAATTAACTAGATGTAGGGAAAGGCCACAGACCGCAAACATGTAGTTTAGAACGTACAAATAAGAAAGTAACTATGCTTTTGGTAAAACACTGTCTCACCTGGTTCGCCAACAGGTGGAAACCGTGGATTTTTAAGAACTGCTCACAACGTTTAGGCTCTGCCTTCTGTAAATACTGGAAAAGAATCTGAACCAAAGTATAGTAGATTAATCCTCGGGTAACTTCATAAGAGGAATGCTTCAAAATAACACTTTCTAACTAAAGAAATACTTGCTTAAATCTTTAATCTTGATGGCCTATGACACTGGAGTACAAAATCCCAAATATAATAATGGAATGTTGGAAGATCCTCTGAAAAATTTACTAAGACAATCAAAAAAGGTCCACAATAATCACACAAAAAAAGAAACCCACCCTGATGGCAAGTTCTCTGACATTATCTGAATCGTGATGAGCCCACACCAATATGTATTCAGCTTTGAGAACCTCGCCAATCACTGCCGGCACATGCTCAGATGGCAGATTGAACAGTTTCTTCTCGAGCAGTTTCATTAGACCCAATCTCAGTGTTATCATCACATCAACGCCTTGTACGCTCTCTGAACGAGTGGGGCAGTAAGTCCTGTGTGTGACACAACTAATGTCATGAAACTCAGCCTCTGGATTCAAACTTCCACCTACTTCTCTTCCCTTTCCCTCCTTTCTTCACTAAAAAGATTTCACCGTACTTTTGAGGAGTTTCCAATTGAGTGTCAAACGTAATTCAGATTCTTTAGTTTAATTTAACTTAGCTCTATGATTGGTCCAGAAACTCGTGTCATCCTCTCAAAAAATCATATGCAAACTAATGAAAAAGTCACATAGAGTTCTCATTGGTTGATGATATATAATGATAATGGATCTTTGTTATGATTGATTGCGTTGATTAGTTTGGTTTTGGTTTTGGTTTTCGACATTCATTTGGAAACTGAACATTCTATGAAAAGCTATGTGAAGATAAAATTGTGCAATTAAGGATATTTAAGACAGGTCTTGAAGATTAAGATACCTTTCTCCCTTCAACACTTACCTTGTACTTGACTGTATCCCAGGGAATCCTTCCACCACCAGGTAATCATCATGGGAACTTGGATTGACCACACTACTTTGTAAAGAGCTGAAATCAGATTCGTTTATAAAATCATACTCCGTGGGATCAAAACTAGACTGTCCATCGTAACTTGGGACTGATTCATAGTTCCTAATCACCATTGGGTTGCTGCCGGAAATGGTGCGTACTCCTGGGTAAGACATATCCAAGGGTGTGCCTGGGCTCGTCAATGGAGAGGGGCTCATTCTGGGGTCGGGTTCTCTCAAGTGGCTCTCGTGCAGCACAAGAGCACTACTACTCAACCCTTCACCGGCCTCTTGCTTTGGAATGATGACACGACGGTTTCTGTCTCCTTTAGGCACGGCAAGTCCTCCAGTAGGTACAGAAGCCTTGCCAGAGCTCCCAGGTGCCACCTCCATGGGGACGCTAAACTGAAATACGTCTTTGTCGTCCCTTGTCCCCTTTGACGCCTCACGAAAATTCCAGTGAAGTTGGCTATCAGGTTCTAAACCTGATGCAACAGATCTGCTGAGTTCACTTACACTCCGGGATGACGTCTTCAAAAGCCTTCCCTTTTCTTGATCATTCTGTAGATTGGCACGTGACCTTTGCAAATCTTTGCTTTTAATAGACTCAAAACTAAGTGACCGGCTCATTGGGTTTCTTGAGGGGTTCCTCCCTGGGCTGGTGAACTGAAACGGTCTTGGTGAGTGTATCGAGCGAACTGGAGCGGTAAGAGGAGAAGAAATCGAGCCACCACTGGCCGCGGGCAAAGAACGGTTTGAACCCAGAGCTGCCGACGCAAAAAGAGGGGGGCTATTTGAACATAATCTGAGGACAACAGGTAGTAATCCATCTGGAATGTTCAGGAGAGGGACAAGTTTTCAGAAGAGTGATATTTAGCCGCTACATAGCGAATGCTATCATACCAGGAAACAATAAAACAGTGAATAAAAGGGATAAGTTTCTAAAGACACTATGGTGCTGCGTCGGTGGGAGAGTATAGCAGGTAATTTAGCATTGACAACTGAATTAAAAACGTAAAACAGCCACCGTAAAGAGTTAAAAGGCTGATGTTTCGCGCGTTACCCCTAAGTAAGAGTGATTGGAGCGATCGCTCTAACGAAGGGCTAACGCTCGAAACGTCAGCCTTTTAATTCTTTACGGTGGCCAATTTACATTTTCAACTCAGTTATTAAATTCAAGCATAATTGTCTTTTCCTCTTTCTTCTCTTAGCGTCTGAAGAGGAACGCTGGAGAGCTTCAGGCTTGTTTGTGAAAGGAAGATCGAACTACCAATAATAGTTGCGAACGAAAGCAATCTTTAACATCCCGTCTTAAGCTCTTAGGAGTCCAAGTGTCTTAGAATGGTGTATGGTGGCTCCACCATTAAGGTTGGGAACGAAACTTTCAGTAGACCATAAGGGGGTAGTTAAGTCTGCATACGCTGCATACAGAACCCAGCCTGTATATGTCACCGAGCCTTATCCTCGTCTCCATAGCATGAGGTGACTAAGAGTATCGTTACTTCCCCTGAGGGAATGCTGGTCCTTTAAAATTAACACCCCCCCTCTCCCCTCCCCCTCTAACCCTTACCTTACCACTAATACCCATTCTTACCCTAGGTGAGCAGTGGAACTCAAAGTAAAGCGGTTTGACCAAATAAAAAATGCGTTGTGAAGTTACGAGTTCTATCCGTTAGGGAGAAAAAGGCCGTTTTTCTATTAGTTAACTATGTCTTTTGCAATCGTCTTTTTCAGGGATTAGTAGGAAGAAAGGAAGAGGAGGCAGAAAGTAGGCTGGCTTGACTATCTACAACGACATAAACGTGTTTTACATACACGAGTCGAGAGAGTGTTCCCTAAGATAACATCTGCTTGGTGCATCCAGTCGAGTGGTGTCCTTCGTCGGGTGGACGGCAATAAGGAACTCACAAACAGACTTCAACACTGTTAAGTCAGGGGGATTACCCATGATATTCTGTATAATATTCACATAAGAGGAGCTAATTACTCGTGGAATTTCCTTGCACTCTTCACTCTGTCTCTCCTGTGAAACAACAATAAGATGATAGTCACACCACAATTCGAAACGCAGCAATACTCTGCATAACTAAAGTTAGGTCATTGTGCGGAATATTTATACCATTAAAAAGTCTCTTGATTAAAACTTTGAACGTCAAGCAACGACAAATCCAAGTCAAGTAAAAAGCGAAAGTTTCTCAAGAAAGTAACGAATGGAATACAAAATCAGAAAAAGTTTCCCTGCCCCTCAATCCATTTCATAAAATGGCGAGGAGTTCTAAAAGTTTTCAATAAAAGCCACTTATCAGTGGTCTACCGCCGCCTAAAAGACCTCTCACGGCCAACTGGGCACAGCCGCTCCTTGCACCATCGGTAGGCGCTTGTGGAAAAAGTTATTAACATTCCTGTAAATAACAGGACCATGCCCTTTCATGTTGGGGCTTTATATCTTGTCACCTTATTTCGCTAGGTTGATTCACATTAGTTCATGTTATCAGCGTGCAGAAGGTGGGGTAGGGCTTTTTAAGGAAACATGCAGTTACCTACACAACACTATCGGAAACCTCCGCCAACTGAGTGAAGGCAATCAGTAAACTGCCTTCCCCAGAGAGAATTAAGGACGCGAGAGTTGTCAAAACGAATCATGCGTCTTGCGGCCGAATAGGACAAAAGAAGCTTTCAATTTCAAACAAGAATTCTTTACTGTACTCCTGAAATAATCTCACCTGACATCCAATCAGGATTTGCTGCACGAGCTGTGCCTTCTGGAACTGAATGATGTTAAAAGTGTAATAACTGTGGCTTCCGTGCACCAAAATTTCAATAGTGGCCAACAGCATTTCCAGTACGCCTTGTTTGGCCCTCTCCCATATTTTCCAGTTAAGCAGGAAATGCTGGAAAATGGCGACGTTCCGAACCACTGCAGTGGAGTCGATGTTCAGCATTATAGGATCATCGGCTAGATTTGTTGGTTTGAATACATCGCCATTACAAGCTGCTTCCATCAGCACCTAATGTGAAAAGAATGGAACTGGTTAAGATTTGCATGAGACGTGCGTATCTCGTTTTCATATACAAAGAAACCAAAGAAACAAAACGATCATCCAGTAAAACCACAAATTGCCGTGATACGGCCGCGGTCTTCACTTCAAGCGCACGAATCTGAACTTTCAACATATTATGAAATAAAATAATAATAAGACATATTTGTGATATTTTCTATTGAATTTTTGGAATCGACACGAGAACGAACGGTCTACCGGGCTTTCAAGCCAGAGATTACGTAGAATTCCTTCGAGTGGTTTTTAAACATAAAACGATTGCGTTCTACCTTTTGAACAAGTTGCACATGAAACGGCTGTTACCAATTGAAGGGTAGTGCTCATATACTGGGATCTTACTACCCAACAGGACAAGATCCGGCATAAAGATAAACGAGAGCGGTTCTGGGTCGTTTATCAAAGAACTCACCTTCAGCGTATGGTAACCAATCTTACACTCCGGAGACAGCAGAATCCTTTTTAGCAATGCAAACCCAGACTCTTCGGCCATGGCACGGGCGTGAAAGACGGAGAAACTCTGAAGCGACAAAACAACTGACAAAGCCTCCGCTTGTGTTTTTTCATTTTGTGTTTGTTCCACCACCTGTGTGGAGAGATTTTCTCAGGCTTAGCCAGTAGGAACCTTTTAAAGCAGTCACAATGGCAGCACTAAGAAAAACATTGAATGGTTCCAAGAGTTTCCTGTTTTTGATAGCGCTGTGGTTTTCGTTAAGTCTACAATAAGTTTTCAATGGAGAGGAGTTGGAGGAAGTAGTATTTTAGTAAATACCTTACAAGCTGGATAGATAATGAACCTAAAAATTAGTTCAAAGAAACTTCGTCAATTATGTTCGTTAAGTTTGACACATAAATGAAAAGAACGATGATGGACAGAATAAAACAAACGTGTGTTCAGGCCATAACATCTCCTAGATGATCTTTATTCGTTTGAAGTCGTCTCTACTAATCTAGTCTCATATCTGAGTTATTTATGTTATTTTGAAACGCTGACTCTTAACGTGTACAAACCTTAGCAAAAAGAAAAATGAAGACACCAATTCCCCCGACATCATGAGCTGATTCCAAAATAGTCTGTTGCCGTTGAGATTCTACATCAGAAGTGACCCTGGCATCAACTTCCCAGGGTTCGTACTCGTTTTGTTTTAGTCTCTGTTCAGTGATATTCATAGACGCTAGTCTTTCTTGCCTTTCTTCGCTGGTCAACAGCTCAGAATACTGCTGGAATCGCAACGGACACATAGGCGAGTACACAGCAGCGAGCCGCTTCTAAAATGTAAATAAACATACCCCGTCCTTCAATAGAAATGGTTACAGAAGTAAAGAACGCTACACCTTTAAGTCTAAGAGTAACTGACATCTTGTTTCACATTACAGTGTCACCACTGAATCAAACAAGAAAGTTACGAGAATAAAAGGAAAATGATCACCATTTTAAGAAGCTCTTGATTGTCAAAAAAATCTCCCTAACGGTGCCGTAACAAATGTTTACATAAATTCATGGAGGATATGCATACTGATGTTTGAGGGTAAAAATAGATTTTAATTTCATTTGCATTAAATCTTGTACCTTACCTTAAGTGACAACTCGAGATCAGGTACAACGACATGAGGACTCGTGAGAAAACCGGGAGGTAAGTTTGCCGCGACAGCTTGTTCAGTAATGGCTAGACGAGACCATAAGTTAGCTGCTTCCATGAACAATTGCGCTGAGCTAAAACAAATATCAAGATATTTAGAACAATTACAAGCTAGAAATTCCATCTTAGTTTGCTATTGGTCAGCACTATTTAACGAGGAATCATGTTTTTTTTTTTTTTTTAATTTCGTGCGATACTGTCTTCTTTTTTAATCACTACTTGTAAAATTTAATAGTATTAAAGAAAGACTTTGGCGAGTTACAATGAAACACTAACACTAAACCAAACAAATGTGGGTGGTATTATCAATAACGATATCATTCTAAAGGTTAAGTGAAGAGAGCAGGGTAAGTCGAAAGTCTAGGAAAACTTTGCTAACCACTAAGACAGTTGAGTTGAAAACTAAATAATTCCCTAATACACGTTACTTTGACACATTAAGAGACCTCTACTGTCCTCTATTCAGTCCGGTCCACTATCACTACAACAGTGTTTGTTTGTTTTGTTTTTTATTTCCCAGACGATTCCTTGTAGTTTGGGTTGCAGGGGATTAAGCACCTGTCTTTAGAAGCTGGCGGGGTGGCCTCAAGACAAACGTTGTCTGTACGCCCTAAGCTACATTACGTTGCCAACTTACTCGTTTGAGGTATGACTCGGTAAAATGTTGAAGTCTTTACTAAGCTGCCCTATGCTCGCGCTGTTTGGTCCAAGGGAATACAAATAAAATGCTTCTTCTTTTTCTACCAGCCAATCACTTGATGATGAGGATTGCTGCTTTGCGGGCTTGGAGATTTTGAAAGGTTTCTCTGAAACGACATTACGTGCATAATCATTGTACTACTGTTGATTTCAGTTGTGAAGATGAGGATCTGACCAATTCAGTCAGATCATTTGCAGCAACGTTGAAAACTACAATGAATCCCAGGATGTTTCATTGCTCTAGAGAAATGCTTAAAAAAGAAACCACCAAATTCAAGGAATTAAACTCCATCAATTTCGGAATTCGAGGACAGACGTTCTACCAACCGAACCAAAGAGAAACTCGTTGGAAAACCGGCTTATATAGCAGGTCCTAATGAGAAAATTGACCTGCACACTGCCAGGATCAGCAATGTAGTATTGTCTCTAAAACCCAACATACCCCGTTACTTTTATTTCTGAATCAGCTGTAAGTTCCATCTTCTGCTCTCTTTTCCGTTCTAACTCTATAGACATAACCTACCTGCGAAAACAAACACATTGCCAATCTGATATCCCTCATGAAGAGTTGCCTTTGGAGATTTTTCGCCGTCGCCATAGGTCACATGACCAAGAAGCAACGTCGACAGGGTAAATTTGGCTTCCTCGTGGTATGGGAGGGGAGGGCCAAAGTCATGAACCACTGATTCCGTTCCATCCACCACTATTAGGAGCTGTGGGAAAGAAGTTTTTAATTTCATTTATATATGAAAGATGCAGTAGTTGAATAAAAATAAAAAGTTGTGTTATTCGTTTCATCAAAAGAGTTGAACAGGGAAAAAGTATTTAGTGATTGTCTTTAGCTAGGGACATCTAATCAGTAGAGACTACTATTCTACGAGAAAACACTTGGGTTCCTAACTGAAACGTTCCAAAAAGTGTTTCTGGTGTTCCTTTAATCTTTGCTTTCGTCTACCCCATTAAACTTTATAAAGGGCCACTTTTATTTAAGGTGCGCTCTTGAAGTCGTGAGGGTGTCCCTCAGTTATACAAGTAAAGACTCAGGGGTTCATTTTATCAAGGAACGTCCACCAAAAACCTACTTCTTATACAACTTTTAAAGGCTTACTTCTGAGGAAGGTAAACTATCTGCCCCTGTATTCTTCTGCTCTTCAGCCAACACTTTTGGCTGGGTAAAGGATATGACCAGATGGTGCCATTGTCCTTTAGTAAGTGCTGGTAAGCTAATCATTCGTTGCTTTAGCACTTTCAGAGAGCCACTGCTGCTTTTGGGGTTCTTGGTCCATCTACATTGCCATCACCCAAAAACAAAAACAAAATCAAACAGACACACACACACACCCAAAAAAATAAAGAACAGTGTAAAAGTAATTATACTGTCTGCACTCGAACCAGAGAGTCCTCGCCACCGTTCACAGCTGTCCAAACACATAATTTTCCGTGCAGTAGTCGCCTTTGTTCCCGCTTTTTTGCCGCCAAAAGTTATTGTGGTAGTTGCGTAGTTGATTGATCGATTCATTTTTTTTTTTGGTCTGTTTTCCCCCTCTGACATTCTCTGATAACCCATACATACCTTATGAGAACTGCTCTATTAGATGGAAATGTCCAAATTTCAAAAAGGCTTTTTCCAGAACCAACCGAACACAAATGGACGATTCTCTCCTTTCTAGAAAGCATCGTCCTTTCCACAGAATTTCCTAGCTGTCTCTGCGAATCTTCGCTTGGATGTTTGAAGACGTCGTCCACTCCATTTCCCAAAATGGGACTATTCAAGCAGATCCACATGGCAACGCTAAAGCCCCTCTCAGAGCGAGGAAGCCTGCCTTGAAAAGGTAGCTGGACAGCAAACAACTGAAATGGCGAGGGTAAATGAGTCCGCCCTTGAAAGTGAAGTACCTCTGTTAGTTCATAGTCAGCAGAGCAGCACGATGCGGAGGGGGAACTTCCAAGTTGCTTTCTTGTACTTCGCTTGGAACTCAAACGGCGCTTTGATCCTTCCATCGAGGATTTTGCCTTTCTATGGTCTCTTTTAAGGTATTTATCAAAAGTCTCAGAGACCTGAAATCTGCTGGAGCTTGCAGAGCTACCACTTCGTATACTGTCTGTCTCACTGGACTTGTCACCGTCGCTTGGTTGTGGAGAGAACGACGCGCTACAGAAGAGAAAAGAATCGTAACATTGAGAAATTTTTCAGTTGTTATTCAGTTATCCAGGTAGATAACATGATCAAGATTGTAGTGATTTCTCTCGATATCTTTTTTGTCAATAAATCACAATTTCAAATGGCCTTCGTGTGTGAAACTTTGACATTTCTTTTGGAAATACGCACGATATTTATTCAAATGCTGACGTAACATGGAAAACAACATTTTGCATAGACTTAAGGCTCACAAATAGCGGCCTGGGTACTAACATTTTTAGAGACTTTTTCCCTCTTATTTCCTTCCTTTTTCCACTGGAAGCTTTACCACTCGTACCAGCTGTTGTAGCTCTTTGTTCCGATTCCTTGGCTTTACATGGAAATGACATCTGGAAAGCAGGACCAGGATTGGCACTGGCTCTTGCAGCAACCTCCGATAAAGCTGAAGATAATAAGTGCTGAAAACCACAAAGACAAATCGATATCAAATATTTTCATTATGTACATTATAAATAGAATGCTCCAGTTGCAATGTAAATTGAATTGAACAAACCCACAGTTGGCTAACTATGCAGTCAAAGCAGTGTGGTAATGCAAAGGAAAGCATGTACGGTGACGAGGTGCAATTCAAGCCTAATGACAGTATTAAGATCATTGGCACATAACGAGGGTTTTTCGCTATTTGTAAGTTTGTAACTATGTTTTACTAAGAGATTTTATACTACAGAACGTTGTCATTAGCCAAAGTAATGCGTGTCTACCGAGAATGGACGAAAAGTACCACTAGTAGAACTAGTGAATATTTCTAAAAGGAGGGCGTTTTATCCATATCTTGCCAGGCAAGCTATAAAACACGACTATTATCCTCAAATACAGAAACATGAAACGATAGGAGGCAAAATCAGCCTAGAAAGATACCAAGGGATGTAGATCAGGTTTTTCAAACGATAATTGACAATCCTTTGAAATCATCTCTATCCGTAACTATTTTGACAACGTTTTGGTTTGGTTTTACTTCTTTCGAGTTGTTTATCTTAAAGTAATTGTTTTCTTTAACTTCGTAAAAAGATACAAGAAATTTCAAGTGATATGGCTCCCTATAAGACTTTCTTACCACAGGAGGATCTGTGGAATTAAACAATGCCAAGAAGTCCCACAGTTCAGCGGCTGTGATGTTGTGACAAGCAAGACAAACAAACACCTCCATCACAAGAGTCTGAAGACCTAAATTAAGTAAAAGTAAACAACAACATGAAGTTAAAAATCCAAAGAACATTGTTTTACCAACTGAATTATTGCACGGTAGAGTTGAACAGAATTCATTTTAAAAAACAAATAAACTTCCCGTTGCGCGGGTGAAACCGTGTGATCAAGTAACGATTGATTTTAGTTTTGCATTTGCTTGCTTTAAAGGATAGCGCGATATATTGGACCAATCCCAAAGTAAAGAGGAGTGAGCGAAAATATGCAATCCCAGATTTCTTTCAACACTCAACTGAAAATTGCTCTATCCAGCAACGGCAAAAACATTAAAATGGGAGAATTAAGAGGGCGAGGAGTGAGGCTTCGGAGGAAAAAAAGGATCCACCAGTGGTTCATTTCAAAACGATTTTCCTCTATAATCGTTGGTATAGAATCAGTTCCGACGCTTAGTCGCATTACAGGCTGGCCTCTATCATTCTGCATTCTTCTAAAGCAAAAAGAACTCACTTTGTACTGAACCCTTGTTCTGAACGGTAAAAGCGCCGTTCGACTACATTTTGTAAGTTTTGGTGCGTACGTCAAACTTGAACTTCCCAACAGATACCGGTAGAATAAAGTTACCAGTAACTTAAGTCACTGAAATAAAGAATAAAAAAGCCTTGCCTCGTAGTGACTGCTCCTGTCTAGTCATTACATCACCGAAGCACTCAAGGAGCACCCCAACAAATCCCTGTATACAAAAAGAAGGTGGCGTGAAATATAGATCAGTAAGAGAGTGAAAGACAAAACAAAGATGTGCTAAATTTAACTCTGAAAGAGCAAGTTTAAAGAATGTTAAAATATCTTATATAGTGTAAATATTGAAATTAATACGTAGGTGTCAGCGTTATCAGAGTTATCTATAGTTCAGAACTCTCCTTGTACAGATCGTATGATTTCACTTACATGTTGACAAAGACGCTGACAATTTTCTTCACAATCGTTGAGTAGAAGAAGAAGGTTTTCAACAGCATGGAGAACCACACCCACACTAAAATGAGGAAAAGAATAGGAGACATGAAGAAAAGGCGGGCTCCATTTTACCAACGATCTACATGTACAATGGCGAATGATCTGTTTAAAGCAATACCTTTCTTCGTACTTCTTATTTAGATCCTCAACGACCAACAATGATCGTGACTCTATAAAATCAATTACAAGTCAACTGCAAGTTCATACCTCTCAGATTCTCCGGCTTTAACTCTGCTGCCATAGCACACCTGCAATAATTGAAAAAGTATATTGCAAATCCGTGGGTAAACGACCAATCCCTTCAAAATATGTTCAAGCTGTTTAGGAAATTGACTTCGTTTCTTTTGTTTAGGCTGCTTCTTGCTATCGGGAGATTTCCGTCCTGTTTCATCGCTCATGTCGGAGTCAGCTTCTTGATCTGCATCGTAACCTTCCTCGAACACTGATCCGCCGCCTTTTTGGTTCCCATCTGTTTCGTCGTCATCATCCTCCAATAGATTGGACCACTCCTAAAGCAAAGAGCGATTGACGTATTATCATTTTTGCAAATAATGAGCGGAGTCCTGAAAAAAGTTATTTTAGCCACGCACCCCTTTACCACTATAGCACACGTAGAACTTTCCTGTTCGAGTTAATTTCTCCAAATTCCAAAATTAGATCACGAAAGGTGAAAAATGAAGTAAAGGAAAGGTTTCTACCACTTCCCAGACCTCTTTGCTCTCTAATACTCATTTAGCTGGGATCATTTAACCCTACAACAACTTAAAATGCCCTACATTGGCTGGCAGATTGCATTTTTTAACTAAAACTGTAATAATGCATTGGCTTATCAGTGGAAGGTAAAACTTATTACAAAAAAAGTCAAAACAAAATTAAGCAAGCACTTTGGATCAGTTGACATGCGCTTCAACAATTTTGTGTAGATACACATCGACAAAAAATCTCAGGCGAACCTCTTGACTATCCCCATGGCTTGTCTTCCTCAAAACGACATCCTTTTGTCGTCTAATTTCCGATCCGAGCAAAACAGAACCCTCTCTCCCCTCCAGCTGCCACGTCGATGCTTTGAGAAAACAATCAGTCAGTCCTTTGCTAAGATATCTCTGCAAAGTCTCCGAGTGTGAGAATAATTTCTTCACCTCTTCCACCAGCTGATCAAGATTTGGAAGTGCCTAGTAAACAAAAATATGGCATAGAATTTAACCTAATAAAGTACCGTCGTAGAAAAAATTACGTAGCACACAACAATTTCTATAACTGCCAACGTATCACTATCCAAAGCTGTTAACTTACATGTATACACGAACATGAACAAAGAGAGAATCAAGCAAAAGTCCATAATGTACACATTCCCTCCTAAGTTACTCAAAGTTTGCCGGGTCTCCCAAAAAAAATGTTACAGGTACCTCCTGTGTCACCAGAATTCTTTGGTGGTAAGCGAATACACTTCAGATGCTGGATGTTGGAGTGAGACTGATAAGTTCTTGATACTCCCGCAATCATCGAAAACGGGAGAGATTTTTAAAGAATCTAACAGGGATTACCTTAACCCTGTAACTCCCAAAAGAGAGTACGACGTTACTTATCGTTAAAAAAATCTAAATATTTCCAATAAACAAGTAGGAAGAACAGACTATTAAGCTCTGCAACGTTGTCTTGATTACCAAATTTCTCGTAACCAATTTAGAAGGAAATAGAGCGCATCTGAAAGGTACACAATTAACAAATGATGAGAAATGGGAAATTCAGCCTGATATTTCCTTATACTTGATGCAATTTTACCTCTTTATACCTCCATTGTTCAGTGTGTGCCATTCTGATACAAATAGCCGTAACTGACTCAAACAAGTACACAAGCTGTTTGGTGCACTGAATATCAATCGCTTGATTCTCCCTTGTGCAATGAGTCAAAGAATCACCGCGAAATATTTCAAGCAAAAGATGGAGTAATTCACAACTGGAAACTATTCCATCATCCTGGAGAAACAGTTCACTAAACAACTCATTTGAAACCAGCAGGCGAAGACACGATCTCCAAACATACACCCTCAATGATGATTCCACAGGATGGCAGGAGGCTATAAGAGGCAGTTCAGGTGACTTCGTTTTGTCAAAAAGTGTTGTGGTGAATTGAAGTAACGAAAGGAAGCTGCGGCAACAGACTTTGCTGTCACTTTTATCTCCACTTGAGTCTAGAGATCCTGCACTGAGGTCGTCACTCTCTGTATAGGGTCGCTTCCCCGTTGCTTCTTGATTTTCAACATCAGCCAAGAACTCCAACACAAGCATAACTGGTTCTTGAAGCTGTGGTAATGCCAGAAAGCTCTGTAGTTCATTTAAGCCACCGCAGTTTAGAAACAGTGCTCGAGACTCCGAGCCAGTGAGAAGTGAGGTTAACATCCCAATACAAAGTTCAAGAACCTCTGCACAAATTTCATCGTGTCCATGGACCTGTTCCGAAAGGTCTAAGCTGCCGAGCTCAGTTTTAAAGCCGGAAAAAGTACTCCCCATGACTGATTTGGCTCGCTGCCCAAGCCTCTCCGACGTAAATGTTCCTGTCCAAGTCCTTGCTCTGATCTTTCTTAGCGGCTCAGCAACTTCATCAGTGAAGATTCCATCGCAGCGCAACATGCACGGGAGAACCACCATGCGGAAAAGCTCAGCCTTCAGATGTTTCGATCCCAAAATAGCCAAAGGCTTCAGAGCCTTAGCAACTCTAACAGCAATATCTGTGTCTTTGCACGACATAAGAGCACAGTATTGTGAAAGAGCAGCCCAGTTAGGTTTCCCATCTTTTACCAGATCTTTCATTTGCACACTCAAATCATTGGCAGAGAAGCCACTGTCACTTTTGCAAGGGCTTTGTTTAGTAGACTTTGAGCGGAATCTTTGACCCCTTTTAAAGGGAGAAGTCGGTGACCGACGAACATCGTAGTTATCAGACATAACGTCAATTTCTGTGAGCACCATGTGGTTGATAATTCTGAGAATGATATCTTGTAGGTCCTTGGGCTGTTCTACAAATCTGCAAGCGAGAATAAATAGGTAAAGAATTATGCATACATCGTCCTTTCGTTGTCAAACACACCTGCATGGGAGACTGGCTCGCATAGATGACAGAGCTTATCCCACTGACGCTCCTGTTCCTGAACTAGATGATAGGATTTTGTAAGCAGCCAATATCCAATTTGTCCGGTTCCCTAATAATTTTATTGCTACCGTTTACAGAGTACTTCAGAGAGGCAAAGGCATTGTAAGGTGAGAGCAAAATGTGGTGCCCAAGAACACAAAGCTATGCCTCCAGTCTCAATGACTTTTACACCACCGAGCCTACCACGAGTGGCTTTTTCTGGAGGTCTCGCCCCTTATCAGCTTTGCGAGTTCGCCCCCTGATGTGAAACAAGTTCGTTCTCTTTTTTATTAGTTCGCCCCCAAACATTCTAACTCAAACACATTAGGATATAGACAGAAGAGGAATATTTTCTGCCGTGCTGGGAAACGAATTCAAAGATTTGGGGTAAAAACTGGTAAAGGTGGGTGCAACCTTGTTCGTGGGTGCGAACTCTAGAAGAGACAAGAGTTTGATACAATGGGGCGAAACCTCCATAAACCCCATCCGTGACCATTTTAGAGATTTTCTAAAATATCCTCACCTGTTGAGAAGAGTTGTCACCAATACATCTGGCGAGACGCAGTGGCAGATTCCAACTTTTTCCAAACAGTTCAGAATGCTAAATCTTAACTTTGGATTCCTGCTGTCCTTGAAGACTGTCAATAGCGTTATGGCAGGTCTCAAAACCGTGCAGAGGTTTTCTGATGGTGAAAGTAAAACATAACGAGCAACATATACAAACTACATATACAAACTAGCCCCTAAAAGTAAGATAGCAACATAATCGCCTCCGTGCAATACCCGCACAACAGGGGTTTCAGTAAGTTATTTTTTCCATGAGCGGCTGCCAAAAGGTTGAGGTCGGAGGTTTCACAGGCGTAAGTAGACACGCCAACCCCAAAGCAACGTACGACCTGTCTGGACGGCTCTTTTTATTTTCTGCCTCTGTTTATCATCTCTAGAGAGCGTTGAACAAGCCTGGGATAAGCAGACACCTCCTACAAGCAAACGATTCTGACAAAGGTATCGAACATGCCGCTAAGTTCAGGGGCAGATTCAGGTTTTTCCCATAAAGGGGGCGCGCCAGTAATGACGTAATTGACGTCTGCTTTGAATGAAGAATAGAAGGGTTACCGTCGAAAATTCAGTACCAAGCTACTTTTCTTAGGCGTTCAAAATAAATTCTTCAACACCGTCTCATGTTTG